TGTTTTGACCGGACACTCACTATTTACAGTGACGTGTTTCCTGGTGGTACGTACTACAGGCACATTCATTTTTATTATCAATGCATGGCTGGGTATTAGCTTGATATTAGTCAATACGGGCATGATGTAGTAGTATCGCGATCGCTATACCTCCCGCCTGATTTGCTTGTCAGTTGAGTGTGTGGGGCATCAATCGGCAACGAAGGCCGTGGGTAGACCCGCTGTTTGTTCCTTCAGCCGGCTCATGGTAGCAAAAGAATATCAATTATTAGTATCATCGCCCGAACGATTATAGGAAATCCTGCGCGCTGATTGGTCGAGACCTAGGCGATTATTTTTCGATAATCACTTCTAGGATTTACATTGTAGTGGCGCCAAAAATGGCGGCTAGATTTGTAAATGTTACGGAAGCCGAAATTGACAAATTTAAAGAAAATGCTGTCTCCAAAAGTACCAAATATCGGGCAATGATACTAAAACAATTATTCGCCTCAGGCTCGGTGAATCTTGTTGAATAATTGTTAAAGAATGAATAATAGAGATTAATAGAGATCTATAAGAAGAAGAACAATAATAATAGAGATCTCTATTATTCACTCTTGATAATATGGCTCAAGGGGTCGTTGTCGTATCAGGTACTACAGATATGTACCCGAGGTACATATATGTAGACACAAAGTGTACCAGACTTGTACTACAGAAGTGTACCCTAACCCTAACACTAACCCTAACCCTAACGCTAACCCTAACCTTAACCCTAACTCTAACTCTAAACATACCTTATATAAAAATATAAACTTAATACTAAACAACCTAAAACTACCTCGGGTACATATCTGTAGTACCTGATACGACAACGACCCCATCTGCGATAATATCAGGGGCTAATAATAACAAATTGTCATATGACAAATTGTCATTATTAACCCCTGATAATTTGTCATTATTAAACCCCGATAATATCAAGAGTACATAATAGAGATTATTATGTACAATTTTAACTTACATATATACAATTATATTATGCAATTAAATAATTATATTAAGGTTTTGGTAGAAGTAACCCTGACTCACTTCAACATCACAACGTATAACGAGTTTAATTCCAGAGCAATTCTCTATTATTATATGTACTCTTGATAATATCAGGAGTTAATAATGACAATTTTTTCCCTGTTCCTGATCATATATACCGGGTTCGGTTGCCGCGGCAGTATAGTGTGAGTGTGCGAGTATTGTTCTCTTCGACTCAGACGTTAGCGCGCCTTCAACTCTAGGCTGAGGTTTATTGTTTTCCAGTTGTATTTAGTCGTCATCCTTACATTCGTGCCTGTGTCACCTCTGTACAACTTTCCCTATATGTGTGTAAGACGCAAAAATGCATCATCGCCTATTCCGTACCGGATAACCGTACGCTTCTATAGTGCGACGGGAACACTTCATTTAGACTGCATAGTGACTGCGTATTACTAACGCAGATGGGGTCGTTGTCGTATTAGGTACTACAGATATGTAGCCGAGGTAGTTTTAGGTTGTTTAGTATTATCAGGAGTAGATAAAGGGATACCTTTATCTACTCCTGGTATTATGTTTATATTTTATATGAGGTATGTTTAGGGTTAGGGTTAGGGTTAGGGTACACTTCTGTAGTACAAGTCTCAAGTCTGGTACACTTTGTGTATACATATATGCAGTGCTGCCAACTCTCACGCATTGACCGTGAGACTCACGCATTTTGACCAAATCTCACGCTCTCACGCTCTCACGCTGATCTTACAATATCTCACGCACAGCCAAAAAATGCTGAGATATCTCACGCATGAATATCATCTCTTCATGAATAAAACGCTGAAATATCTCACGCACAGCCAAAAAAATCGTACAATATCTGAAAACAGTCACTTTAGTATGCACCAAATTGCACAAATTGAAGTTATAAAATGCAAAAGCTCCCTACCGTGGGAGGGGGAAAACCCCCCTCACACGCCCACCCCGCTCGGTCGCTTCGCTCCCTCGCATCTCACTCTCACCTATCACCCAATGTTGGCAGTCCTGTATATGTACCTCGGGTACACATCTGTAGTACCTGATACGACAACGACCCCTTGAGCATTACTAACGGGGGTCATCTTCCACCTATACTTAACACCGTCCTGTTTATCTTACTAGCTGCTAGCTAGGGCACGCGGTCGGGCCTCGTAATGGCGAAACGTTGCTCTTGCTGTTAGGCACTCCACTCGCACTCCCTCCCAAGACTGCCGCCAAGATGGACCGTTCCATATTGGCTGTGTTTAATCAGACACGTCTTGGGATTGCTCCTAAAGTCTTTACTGGAGAAATAGTACGTCCGCGCGGCAGCCTGTATGGCGAACACACGTCTTGATACAGCAGATGTGCGCGGATATATATCTATCGGACGGAAAGGCAGAGGAATTATGTCAGGCGAAAAAGAGAGACTGCCTGAAAAAATAAACCAGTGCACGTGGCGCTTGATGGTGTATATGCGCTGACCTTATGATGTGCCGAAAGTGGGTGACAAAAAAGTTACCAGACATTAACCGAAACGACATGGTCGGGGAGAGTGAGATAGGGTTTTCCTGGTGCAAAACCCGCTTCTATAGCTGTTATTATAGGAGTCGCTTGTAAACGCGATTTCTGTACAGTTTACAGTTTTAACATATCGTCTATATCCAGCTCACCGTTGTGAACATTCAATGGTGTGTGTGTGCGTGGGCGGGGGAGTCTCTTCTTTACATGCTTCTGAGAGCATAAATGTGAGAGTTCGCAGAAGTTGGGCATGGCGCAGTTTAGCTGAGAGGGACTATGCCCCCCAGGGTACTTTCGGAACGTACCCTGGGTACGGCGGTATACCGGAACGAGTATGACACATTAGTTATCATTATTAATGGTCTAGTAGACCATTATCTTAGTTAGACCATTATCTTAGTAGACCATTATTTATCATAATAAATGACACATGTGCTTCCTATAGAATCGATTTTCGATTTAGAGTTATCGGTAGTTGATTATCGGCTCGTATTTGGCACCACTGTAGTCACACAGCCAGCATACGCACAACCCATACAAACTGTCATATTAATAAATGTGTCTCGATCGTCAAAATGCTGACTTAATTTATGACCTTTTTGCACGCGAATGATCTGCTCTAAGCTATTAATGTATAGATGGACTATTAATTAACATTTAACCCACGACCGTTGCCTGCGGCATTATTCATATAGCTTGTTTTCCCAACACTGTACAACGTGCAGTTAAGAGTAAATCAGGTTCTATCGCGCTAACATATTCAAGGACGACTAGTTCTATTTCAACTTTGAATAGTTACATAATATCAGGAGTGAATAATAATAGAATCTATTATTATTCACTCCTGATAATATAAATGTTAATTTGTAAGCGAAATACGTTACCACGTGCGCACAAACCAGTTAGGCAGATGGGGTCGTTGTCGTATCAGGTACTACATCGTACCCGAGGTAGTTTTAGGTTGTTTAGTATTATGTTTATATTTTTATATAAGGTATGTTTAGGGTTAGGGTTAGGGTTAGGGCTAGGGTTAGGGTACACTTCTGTAGTACAAGTCTGGTACACTTTGTGTATACATATGATCAGGAGCGTATAATGACAAATACGCTCCTGATATGATATATGTACTTCGGGTACATATCTGTAGTACCTGATACGACAACGACCCCTTCAGCACCAGTTAGCACGTTTGGCACATGCGATCAAAAAAGATAGTAGAAGCCTGCGCAACCATGCTAAATAAAAATAAGAAAGTCGACACCCATGGTTAAAATAACACGCAGTAATATAACGTAACAGACGTAACATAACGTAACAAACACGACATCAGAATCGGAAGTTACGAGGTCAGATAATTATAGGATATAGAGTTTGCTAGTTGCCCTAACTAATTAATAATTACTAACTATAGCTAATATCGCTGCGCTACGTACAGCCCCCGTGAGGGTCCTAAATTTCCCAAGCTTTGTAATTACATGCAGTAAAAGGACAATAACGATTTTTTGAGCTCGATCAATGAAATGGTCTGCTAGCTGTACGTCGATCCAGATAAAAATCCCTTATCCCATTTTAACCAATATAAACTTTTTTATAACCAATATAAAATAGTAACTTTGTACTTTTTCAGATGGATTAAGTTTGAGGAAAATGTAGAAATCGACGCCAGTCGGTGGTCTAAGCCCCATGTCTCCACCATCTCCCTGCACGCACTGTTCGAGCTGCGATACGTCCTACTCAATGGTCCAGTCGTACTCGACGCAGACGTCAACTCCTACTCTGACGTCATCGGTGAGTGATGACGTTTTACTGAAAATTGTAACGAAACGTAGGTGATGACTAGATTTGCTTTATTTTGTACATTATAGGTGAGCATGCAGTTATAACTATACAACTGTGACCAATGTAAATGCTATAAAGTAATGATAATTTATCACTTGTTCGTACATTCATCGGTTTTAGTCTATGCCGACCCTGAATGTTTCAAGTTACGAAGTTTTGTGCAAAGATGATACAGTTTGCGTTATAATGGTCAGTTTCATAAAATGATAAATTTGGTGTGTATATATATATATATGTATATATATATATATATATATATATATATATATATATATATATATATATATATACATATATATACACATATAATTGCAATAAATAAAAGGGAATATTTAAGCATTACAAATTGTAATTAAACAGGGAAAGGGGAAAACTGATTGGGCATAGAAACAATGACCACGCCTGTGTGTGGTCGAAGAGAACAGAAGATCGTTGATCATTGAAAGTCTGATCTTTGAAGTTTATTTTATGAACTCGAGCTGATGAGTGATGAACACGATTTTCTATGACTGATTTAGCTACCCTACTGATGAACACAACTGTCAAATATAACACTGCAGTGAGATAGATTCTAATAATTACAGTGCGTTCAAATATTCGATTTAATTTTTGACGTGATATCTGACTTATAAGCCATCATAAGAATATTTAAATTTATTCATTAAATATGTTACAATATTATGAACTATTGGACATTGGTGAGATATTTACCCGCACGGATTTGTCTGCCCTACGCATGCCAATAAGATTTGGTGCGGCAGAAAAGTTATTTTTTGAAGGGTGGTTTTTGAGGATGTAGTGTTGAGGATTTTGTAAGCGCTTCGATTTTTCGTTTAACCCATGCGAACATTCGGTATTTAAATGTCATAATACATCAACAATACATAAAATCTCGAAACAGTATCAGTTATATTGGAGAAGTGTATTATATAACTGTAGAAGAGCAGCTATCTTTTGCTTATCTCACACCTGAAAACTAGCTTTATTCTTTCTGTTAATATTTATATAAGCGTGTCTCACAAAATCTCAGGTATCCCCAATTTTATATAGGTATGCATAGAATCAGGAGTTGGTTAGCAAAAGAATCTGCTATTATCCATCTTCCTATAGAATGGATATAGTATTCCTGTACCAATAGTACGGCAACGAAATGCTCTTCTGAGGGAGCAATGTGAAATAGGGTCCACGTGTTTTTATGCAGTTCGATATTCAATGTTATTACCTCCGCCAGGGGCTTGGCGGAGGTTATGTTTTCACCGGCGTGTGTTAACCTGTATGATACAGGCGGTATGTTTCGCTTCACTACACTATCTACACTATCAAGGCGGTGAAGTGTAGTGAAGCGGAACCGGAACCGCCTGTATCATACAGGTTACGGCGTGTGTTTGAGTGTTGGTTTGTGGGTTTGTGTACGCTCGCTGATTGGCTGATTGGCCCGCCACCACCGCCGCGCCGGAACCGCCTGTATCATACAGGTTAAGCCTAACTGAAAAAGTTAAGGACGGATTGTCATAAAATTTTCAGGATACGTCAGAAATGGGCTAACTTAGAATTGATGAGACTGCCTTGATGGTGTTCCGGATCCAATTAATTAATTCATTCATTCATTAATTAATACAATTTTCATGATAGGTCAGAAATGGGGTAACTTAGAATTGATTACATTTTGGTGGTGATCTGGATCCAATTAATTTGTTTACTTAATTAATTAATTAATTAATAAAAAAAATTACATTGAGAGAATTCAGCTGCCTTGGTCTGCCTTGCTCTGCCTTGCTCTAGTGTTTAGATATGGAATCAAAAGTGATACCACTCTGGTACCCCTGAGCATTTTTACAATACGCAAACAGGGCCGTAGGCTAAGCAAATGCCTAAGGCGGGGGGGGCAGTGAAGAATCCAGGATTTCAAGGAGGGGGTGAGAAATAGGTGGGAGGTCTGGGGGTCCAGAAAATGTTGAAAATGTAGATTACAGGAGATGGTATTTGAGGCGCTTTTGTGTACATGTACAGCCTTCATTCTGACTACGACAATTCTCTTTTAGTAGAACACTTTTTTTTTATTGCTCCAAAATCTAGGGGGCAGCTGCCCCCTTGCCCTCCCCCCAGGCTACGGCCCTGGCAAATGAAGGCTGCCATTAATGATAAATAAATTCCTTTCAATATAGCTTCGCAATTGTCCATGAGATCACCAAAAATCGTGTTTCTAGACCCATGTTTTATTGACCTAATACGCCGATGATGTTATTTTAAAGCTAAAGTCATATATACTTAGTGATATATGCACAAAATTGGTTACTCTGTCATAGTAAATATGTATAGCCGTTCTATTCACTCCCAACAACAGATACGATCATGAACGCATTACGAGAAGATGGCAAACTGACGAGCGACAAAATGGAGAGTGCGCTGAATGAAGCTCTCACTCGCAAGTTCACTCATCAGATACACAAACGGCCGGCGATGAACAAGCTAACAAAGGGTAGGTAGACGCCTGTAATCCCTAACATCACTTCTGACAGTAGCTAAAACCAGTTTGAGATAGAGCACGTGAGAACGTTACCGGTCTTATATCTTCTAATACTAATAGAAATAAATGTGATTGCAGTCGATAAGAAGTTGTGGGGCCAGCCATACGAACCATGGTATATATATATATATATATATATATATATATACCATGGGCATATGGCACGTGATTGAACTTAAATTAGCTGGACTGTTTCCAAGTAAAGCCGATACTTTCCCAGCCAAGCAACCTGTTGAATCGCTACATCCTTTGTTAGCATTCGATACTATTTGTCATATGCTGATAAAATATGAAGATAGCAAGATGGGGGGCGAGCCGAATTTTACTAGTGGAACCGGATTGTAATCCACTTTGATATATCCACCTGATTCGCGGAATGTGGTTTATATGGCGTGCACATATGTAGAAATATTTTCCGTACCAACCACAATTAATCCCACCCAACCTAGGAGATAGTTTACATTTATTTGTGAGCTGTCTTGAGACTTGGAAACTCTCTTCTAATAGCTAAAACGTTTAATATATTATTAAAACTTTATTTATTTCATAGAATGCAAACAATAATAAAAATGTAACTAACTTGTCTGAGCTGTCTTAGCGTAATTTCTTATTAATTTGTTGCTATGCACTTCGTTTAAATGTTTATACTATCGCCTTGCGTTGTTGACTATGATCGTAAGCCTGTGACAACTACTAAACGGGGATAATAAATTTTATGCTGTTTAGTCTAAAGTCAATATTTCGACAATATTCACCAGAACAATCCTTCTATCATGTAAATATTCACGCAGCTAATTAACCGTGAATCATGATTGACGTTTTTACCCTGCAATACTTTTCCGCCCTACCTGACTTCGCTTTAGGATGAGAATAAAGTTGGAATGATTGTGGCTTGAATACGCGAGAATGTCTAAATCATGGACGTGTTTTTACCGCCACACAAACGTTTGTTCAAAAATAATCCTCTTTTGTTATCGATGGTGAATTGTCCGTATATTTTTCCTGATTAACGTGCTAGTTAATACTGCGATGATCGTAACATGGCTGTTTTCATGTCTATACGCGTAGGTGACCCAAGCACTCGACGCCGCAAGGAATCTGATACTACGAAAGTCGACGAAGATCAATTGGGTACTCTAGACTTATATGCCGGTTGCTAAAAAATATATCACTGCACTACAGTATTTTCGATATTACGTATCAAGTAGTGTGTGTGCGCGTGCGTGCGTGTGTGCGTGCGTGCGTGCGTGCGTGTGCGTGCGTGCGTGCGTGTATGTGTGTGTGGCCATGTGCTCAAGTTTAAAATGTGTGAATGCATGTAGACTTATATATCCACGCATTCGCTATTACTATTAAAGCGCATGTACACGTGCTCACCTATCTATCTGTAGTCAAACGTTTATAACCTGCCTAGTTGTACACAGATAAATTTATCAGGTGTTCTTCAAAGTATCTAATAATTATAATGCTGATATGCCCATGTACGCATACAATGCGCGCACGCACACACGCTCACATACACGCGCGCAGATACATGCGCGCACGCATGCAAGCAGGCATGCACGCATTTACGCACGCACGGATGGACGGACGGTCACACGCAAACGTATGCGCACGAGTATATGCACACGCACACGCGCACGCGTTTATGGATGCTCGTTTCGTCGCACACACGCACGCACGCACACACATATGCCAACACGCACGCACACAGGCTAGCACGCCCATACGCACGCGCACATGCACGCTCGCACGTGCACACCACACACGCACACGCTAGCACACATACACACCACGCACACATCGACCAGCGCACGCACGCGCACACCACACACGCACACACACTCACAGGCTAGAACACGTTGCCATACACACCACACACACATCGACCAGCGCACGCACGCACACACGCACGCACGCACGCACGCACGCACGCACACGACTGCATGAACACCCTTTCAAATACGAATACATTTCAAATGACATTAATGCCATTAATTTGTGTAAATCTTCAACCAGACATCCCTATCCACTTTAAAACTGGAAGGCCCGACCACACATCGACGACGACATCGCCACAAAGGGTCTACAGTGATCATGACTTGCCACTATACGGCAACGGCGAAACTGACCCCGCCGAGCTCTCAGAAGCTCGTGATAACGTGGGGCCACTGCCATCTAAGAGTACCAAGGTATTGTAAGCGTGTGGTGTAACTCCGCGACCTGGCACCGGTGTTGTTTGATCACAGAAGTTGAGTCCGTGATCAAACAACTACGGTGCCAAGTCGCGATCGATATCATACAATCTGCACAGTTATGGTTCTAGTCTCCAATTCATATTTTTCTCGCTATTTGCTCGACACCATGCAAATATCCCGTAGCTTATACAGAGATGTAAGTTTTACGATTTTTGACGGAATTCAGATTTTCTGATATTTTCAATAAAGATTCCGATTCTGTGAGATGGCCTGAAATTGCACCCAAGGATACTGAAAATTCCAAAAAGTCTCTATGTCGAGCACCCCCGCCTACGCAAGGACATGCCAGGTGCCCTTCTGGGTGCCATTCGCCCGCCATTCAGTGGCCTTATACGGCCACTGTTGTCGGAGTGTCTTTCTATTTTCCTATTTTCTGGACAAATACCGCTTACATCTCTGCTTATAACAATAAATGATGACATTATTTCGTCACCGTTAATTATTCTTTTTCCTTTGTCTTTTTTTCTTTTTCATGATAATGCAATGAGTGATAACTGCATTGTTTGCGTGTTTTTTGCCTTGTTTATGTGTTTGTTTGCATTGTTTCCGTGTTTGCAGGCGCACAATGCCTACATGATGAAGAAGATCCCAATTGGCTCCCAGGCAGCAAGCATCCTACTAGGGGAGGTTGATTTTGTTGAGCACATGCTCAGTGTTTTCATCCGTCTCAGTCCAGCCGTTGTGATCCCACAAATGGTGGAGGTGACGATTCCAACTAGGTAAAATAAAGACCAGATTACAGTGACAGTTCGGAATTTTTTTATGTCTAAATCACCTAGACGTTGAGAGGCAGGAACTATTTGTTTACGTGAATTTGTAGCAACGACGTTGTCTCACCATCGTTTTGCGGTGATCTAATCTAACATAACAAAGTAATCCACGCACATCAGAAGTAGATAATAGGGAATTCTGACGCACATACATCTCATTACTTGACTAAAACACAACTTTTCCCACTCAGCATTAGAAACCACTTCTACACTTTAGTTGAAACGCTTCCTCCTAAATTCATTAAACTACCAAAAGGCCCTCTCTCTAAACCGCAAGCCCCCCCCCCCCAACACCGCATCGTACTCAAACGGCCTCCTCCCCAAACTGCGAACCGGTAACGCAAGCCAGCAGTCTCCCCCCCCCCCGCCCCGAGCACTAAACCACGCCAGTAACTTCTTTCTGCCAGAACTATAAACCACTCCACCGCCTGCCTCAAAAAATGCGCAAACCAGAAACATCTCCCGGAAACGTCCCAACAAACATATCTCCCTGTATCCTTACATCAGATTCGATCTTCTCCAACCTACTCCAAAGCAATGGCCCTACATCACTCAACTAAACTTCTTCCACCCCATTCCACTACATCAACTCCCATGCTGTTTGAATCACATTCAACCATAGCTAGTTTTAAAGTTGGTTTTTTCTCTCTTTTTTAAGGTTTGTTTTTCTGCTTCTTGGACCAAAAGGAATGCTAACCAAGTATGAGCAGACAGGCCGTGCTCTGGGTACTCTGTTGACAGATGAGGTAAAAACTACAACTAGATTATTATGCAATAAATAAATGATTAAATACCATATTTGTATATATATATATAGTATATACAAACAGGAGCGTAGCTAATCCATTTTGCTTGGAGGGGGGGGGCACGTGCGTGTTGTTTTCTGGTAAGGTGACCAATATATACGTTTCTCTGAGGGGGGGCAACTGCTGCCTGTTAGGCAGCAGCCCTGACATATACAAGGCTCGACACTAACTATTTTTTCAGTGGCCCGATCGGGCCACCAAAATCATTGATTTTCAATTTTGGTGGCCGAAAATGAAATCTGGTGGCCCGAAAAAAAAACAAAGAAAAACATAAATCTTTATTTCAATCTCGTATTGTATATTATTTGAAAATTGGGCCGTCTGATGCACTTGCACAAGTCTTTAAACAAAACCCCACACACTGACATTGATGATTGAGGCATACATTTGAATTATCCATTCCACGGCATCAATTTTCACCAGAACCGCATTGTCTGGTTCGCTTGATACAATGTAATCACATGTATGCTGGCGCTTGCAAAATATGCTATGGCCTGCGCACGCTCAGATTTTGACCTCTGGCTAGACTGGTTCGCGGCCGAACTGTTCGTCGCAGAGCGCGTACATTGTCTAGCAGAGCGTGAGGCCGATACCAGTATAACACAATAACGTGGCTTGTTGCAGCCGCGGTAGACGGATAAACCGTGCGCCCGTGTATGCCCGCGTAGAATGCTGCACGTGCGTACGTGTGCCCTCGCTCCGCGAATTGCTCGCTCTCTTTGAATGAGATTAGCACGTTAAGAAACAATTATTTTTATCACAGAGACACTTAGAAATTTTAGTGGCCCGTTCGGCCACCAAATTTAACTTTTGGAAATTTGGTGGCGCCGACATCAAGTTTTGGTGGCCCGGGCCACCGGCCACCGCTAGTGTCGAGCCTTGATATATATATATATAAATATTTAGTTATTTAGTTATATATTTCGTGTACATATAATAAAACTATCGACAGAGAACAGACTTGTACGCACGCTTTATAAAGCACGTGTCCACTTCGTGGGATGTAGTGGATACAATGGAAGATAATATTTAAAAACATAGCTAGCTATACGTGTCTAAAAAATTTACACATGTCACGTCTTAGTTATCACAATCGGGCAAACTACGTGAATTCTCCTCGACAGGTTTTCCATGCTGTTGCTTATAAGGCGGGAAAGAGAGAGGAACTTCTAGCAGGTATTGACGAATTTCTCAGCATGGCGACAGTGCTGCCACCCAGTATTTGGGACCCAACCACACGAATTGAGCCACCAGAGCATCTTCCAGAATTGGTAATTTCTATCATAGGTTCACTAATTTTGCTTTGCAGGAGGTCTGAGAAGGATAAGTGTACAGGGAGTTGTGACATATCAATAAATAACAAATAACATTAATATTAAATACAGTAAAATCATGTTTTCATTTGCATCATCATGTTTGTGTATTATGTATACACTATGCATGTGCTCAAAAATGCTCCTCAATGCGCTGCCGCATACTGTTACGTCATCATATGGCTCATCCTATTCCTAGTTTATCACCCCGCCTTATTTATATTATAACACATTTGTGAAAAAGAGGGCCGGAGTCCCATACTAGGATCATTTTGCCAACCTGTAGATATAGGGTTTAGACAATTTTATTAGCTGCAGACTATAATAACGCCGGAGAATTAAATTCACTGTAGCAGTTAAATTATATGTAATATGCCTATGACTATATATGTAACTAATATTTTTATATATATATATCCTAAAATCTTAGATTTCCAGTAACCACGATTTTGTGATTCTCTACCTTTCAATAGAAACGCAAGCAACAGTTGCAAGAAGATGTGAACGACTATGAGAGAATTGTTGGTGGTGGCAATATGCATGAAGATACTGGTTTAGAACGAACTGGGAGGTGTGATATATCACTATGTAATCGTTGCATTCATCAATCACATGTTTCTAGATCAGAACTGAATGTATTCGTATATTATTCTAGCAGCCTAGGAACACAGCTAGATGTAAAATAACTATGTAACACACATAATTTCAGAAGGTAGTAATACTACACAGATGTATTATTTTAACTTGAAGCGTTATTAGACCTGCCTAGATCAATGGTTAAAATATATATAAATACGTATAGATATCTGCATACCACTTCAAAGTTAACAGTTTGCCTCATATGTTCTTATACCAGTACATCTGCCATCTGCTTTGCCAGGTTTTGCGGTGGTTTGATCAAGGACATAAAACGCAAGGCAAAATGGTATTTAAGTGACTACAAGGATGCGCTCGCACTGCAGGTGATTCCAGCTTGTGTGTTCATGTATGTCGCCTCTCTCGCACCTCTCATCACCTTTGGTGGTCTCCTGGAGGCAGAGACAAACCAGCAACAGGTATCACAGAATCTATATATTGGAATTATTTTCAGTATTATATAATAAAAATATTAGGGAAATTAGTATTAAATAATTAGCACTATTATTAGAAAAACCATATCACGATAGAACTTGAAATAGCAGTAGAATTGGTGGAAGCAGTGAGAGCAATAGCTCTACCCATGTAGTCCCTTTGCTCCCAGTATAAGTAAGCCTGTAGCAGGAGCTCAGATGCTACATGGATAGAGCCAGGACAGCACTAGCTATTGCATGTTAATATATATCTATATTATTATTATTATTATTATTGTAGAAATAATGTTGGCATAACTTCTGACTTTGTAAAAACACACCTGATTCACAACTGGCATATAAGTGATCAGCAAGAGGCTATAACAATAAAAATTTATTGAACAGAACCTCATGTGGTCCCCAAAGGGTGAGATGCAAAGATTGATAAGAATTCGCCATCAGCACTGTATGCACTGCATGATTGTCTTGTTCGATCTACTTTTAGGCTACCATGGAATGCATTATGGCAGGAGCTATCGTTGGACTAATCTTTGCAATTTTTGCGGGCCAACCTCTGATTATAATGAGTGCTACCGGGCCGATGTTAGTGGTTGAATCTATAGTGTACCAGTTCAGCAAGTAAGTACCAAAATACATTTCATAAATAACGTTTTTAGGTAACATGGCAAAGCAATGCAAAAGTTCGTGTGTGCACGTGTGTTTGCATACATGCATGCATGTGTGCGAGTGTGTGCATGCGTGTGCATGCGTGTGTGCATGTATGTGTGCATTGGCAGACATGCATGTGTGTTATTGATGCCGATCTTAAAAGATTTCCCCCTCATCTCAGGTAATGCTCTACACATACATTTCTTTCATCGACCTATAGTAATCACGTATGCTAATTCTTGTCTGTCGTGTTTGCAGGTCTAACGGTCTTGACTACATGCCGTTTCGTCTATGGATAGGTATGTGGGCAGCGGTCATATTAGTAATCCTGGTTGTCGTCGACGCATCAGCTCTTGTGCATCACATCACGCGCTTCACGGAAGAGTGCTTCGCTGTGCTAATATCTCTGATTTTCATTTACGAGGCATTCGTGAAATTAATCGACAGCTACGAGAAGGTGCCAATAAATCTTAATCCAGAGGTACGTATTTGCTTGATAGCTGTTTAAAAAGTCATGACGGTAAACAGCGAGTTTGGCTGCTGCTCAGTAACTCTAACTAATCCAACCACTGGACCGACGGCTTGGCATACATGTACATGACATGATGCCACGCTCCTGTTAATGTGTTGTTATTGTTCTCAGTACTGATTAGTTGAAAATTACCCTCGCGCAAGCTAGTATCTAACACGAAAGATGAGCATGGTATCATGTACAAGATGCAGAAAGAAGGTTTGAAAGAATTAGGGATATTGGGCACACACATTTGGTTCAAGCGGCCCTCAGCACAATAAATGTTGAGATGCAATGAGACTGCCTTATATAGTATGTTGTATATCGTAGTGTTTTATCCACTCCTGTATATACAACTCCTGGCTTACCATTTCACCACCGTAATACTGCAACCTTGGCAATTCCAAAGTCCTCTTGTGTTATGTTGCAAATTAAACCTTTATAGCTAAGGCTAACCTAGGAAAAAAACAAGAACGCATGCTAGTGAGATTGAATTGGGGCATCGAGAAGGGACGGGCCCGTGACTCAGAAATAAACTTAAAGCTGGCTTGTGTATGTAGCGCCACTGGTAAGAAGTAAAAACAAGTGCTTCCAGTTACAGCTGGCCTCCTGCATGTACAGTAACTTAAGCTGATAGGGTCTATGTCTCCCTGGTTACTGCCGGAACGTACCCTGGTAACTATCTGATAGGGTTAGGGTTAGGGAGTAGGCATAGGTGACTCCCTAAACTCGTTAGTGGAGTAGGCGAGGTACGATCCGGCATATTAGATAGTACCAGGGTACGTTCCGGTATACCGGACCGTACCCAGGGTATGTTCCGGCGGTACCCAGGGAGACATATAGACCCTGGCTGCGTAACTTAAAAATAGAGCTACAAAATCCGAGTGCGATCTGCACATGGAAGAAGACTGAATTAGTAGACACTTTTCAATGTTGGGTAGTAATATAATGACTCTTAATAGTGAAAGTGGAGAAAGGATGACTGTTGTAAAATTTTGGTGGCTGCATAAGGGTGAAAGTAGGATAGAAAGAATGACAGATAATTATGATGATTGATGAGTCATAGACAGTTGAAGAAGATGAAATAATTAAGTGACACCGAGAAGACACTAACAGGGCAGGATATAGAAAGAAGATTAAGTTGAAGGGGAGGACAGAGAAGATCGAGGAGTGTGAATGTAAATGAGGAGGGGATGTAATGCAGGAAGAGAAGTGTGGAGGAGAGGATGGAAGAAGTGACAGATGGCTAATCTGTGAAACCAAAATTATACCCCAGTGAGATGCATTTGACTATGTATGGGCCATATTGTGTTTGCTATGCTTGTAAATATGAATGGAGTATATATAGGTGGATTGGAAGCAACACATCTTTTGTAAAGTACAATTAAAAGTGATTTCCTGACATTCAATCAGTTGTTCTTGAGATTGACTAAGAACAAGAGTCGTGTGATTGGTCTTGATAAATATCAGCAATAGAAATACGATAATACCACAAATGACTTATATTGTACATAGTATAATATATACTGGTTAAAAATCACCATTTTTCTTAAATGTTACTTTTTTAGCATGAGTTGACAGCCAACGAGACATACTGCGGGTGCCAACTTGTGAATGATGACAACATCACCTTTGAACTTTCGGTAATTATTTTGCCAACAGGCCATCACTAGCATTTTGTTACATACAAGTTTATAAATTTGTTTTATAAAAGGTCAGAACATCAGTTATGGTGCGACTGATGTCAATTAAAAGCATTGATAAAATAATTTGGGATGGATGGTATTGATATCTTTTTATTGTATGATTGCGGTGCTTTTGTTCATAGAACCTCAATGATACAGAGGAGGAATGTGGCGTAATGAATGGAACTCTAGTTGGACCAGGCTGTGGGCGACATCCATATGTTGGAGATGTGTTCCTTCTGTCAGTGATTTTGTTCTTGGGCACCTTCATTCTGGCCTTGGTATTCAAGCACATACGCAATACCAACTTCTTTCCTACTATGGTATGGTCACGCATTATTTGGAATATCTGCATGTATGGAGAAGTAATATACAAATTATAACTTCACATCTGTGTGTTATTATAATGTTGTAAGAAATTTCATGATCATGATAGTGTAGCTGCAAATCATTGAATTCCCCAATTATCATCTATTTAGGAACATATCATTTAATAAAGTGTAGTGATCATAAAACAGTGTGGGTGTTTGTGATCCAGTAAGAATGTCAGTAATGCATTAGTAGAAGTGTCCACTGGGGACCAAGACTGTTTGTGAATTACTAAGAAGCTCATGATAGTCAATGAGTAGCTTTAATATAAGTAAAAAATACAGATTTGTTATTTACCAGGTTCGAAATCTAATCTACGACTTTGCTCTGCCAATGGCTATCTTAGTGATGTGTGGACTTGATGCACTACTAGGACTGAAAACGCCAAAACTCACAGTTCCTGAAAAATTTGCTGTAGGTAACCTAATTACCTCTTTTTATTAATAATACAACTGAAGAACACTCGTAGATCTGATGTGTTCTTATATATGCAATAGACACATGAGCAAGAGTTCTAATGCTACATTTATTAATGCTTAAAGTCTTAACTTAGTATATATATATATATATATATATATATATATATAATATATATATAATTAGTATACTTATACTGACTCACTACATTTCAGCCTACCAGCCCTGATCGAGGCTGGATCATTCCACTCATGGCCAATAACCCATGGTGGGCTCCACTAGCTGCGATATTGCCAGCCATGCTTTGTTGTATTCTCATCGTTATGGACCAGCAAATCACAGCAGTCATCATTAATCGAAAAGAGAACCTACTGAAGGCAAGAATACAAACGATTATATGTATCAGAAAATATATGCATAGTTCGGTGTATGGTTGTCGTGTCGTAGTTATTACCAGTATACCCAAACCATGCACTTATCCCTGTTAAGTGTTACAATTCACTGCACCAAAGGTTTGCATTATTCATAGTCATTAACAGGGGCGTAAATCCGTACCGAGGAGCGGGGGGGATGATCACGCGAAGGGGGGGTCTGTGAGGCCCTCCCCCAGAAATTTTTTGAATTAGACCCCCTCAGATGCGTTTTCTGCGCGAGCAGGGAGGGGGTCCGGACCCCCTGGACCCCTCCCCCCCCTGTACACGCCCCTGCAATAATTGAAATGATTTAGGTCTGCCCATGTCTCCAAATTATCATAATTAGCTGAACTTTCAAGTGGGGCACGGAGGAAGGAGTTTTTTTTTTGAATCTCAGGGGGGATATTTGTACAGGCCATCCCCCCATCCTTCAAGAGCGGGGGGGATGCATCCCCCCTATCCCCCCCGGGATTTACGCTCATGGTCATTAATCATATATTTGTTTTCCACACATTTAAGTTGGTAGCTCTATTGTAATCTGGACGTAGTGGTTGCTAAACGAGTTGAACACAAGACTTGTGTCCTTGTGATAATTTCATAGTAATTTGTTACATTTAGCAAGAATTTAATATATTTATTTCTAGCTGCATTTTTAGCTCATCTGACGTAGTCAGATGCAGCTTGTAGAATCGCATAATCGTGCGTGCGTCCGGCCGTGCGTGCATGCGTGCGTGCGTGCGTTCGTCAACAGTTGGGCACAAATCTTAACCGCTCGACGTACGGTCACGATATTAGGGACGTCGGGGGGGGGGGGATCGTGAAAAGGACTCAAGATGACAAATTTGGAGGTCAAGGGTTAAAGGTCAAGATGTGTAATCGGAGGGGGAATATTTCCCCTCTAACTTAAGGTATTGGAGGAAATACGGAATTGCGGCACAAATCTTAACGGCTTGCATGACCTATGCTCTTAATATTCGGTGTATAATGTGATGGGCAGGAAACCCATCACCAGTGCGAAATTGGAGGTCACAGGTCAAAGGGCAGTGGGGGAAAGGTCAGATATCAGACATTTTCTGAGGACATGGGCTAACGGACAGAGTGAAAAACTTTTTTGTTCAGTGCTGACCTACCATTTTTATCACTTTATTGAAAGGACCATGAAATGTGCTTTCCACTGACATGCGAAGAGTAAGTGTCTGATAACCTTTTGACCCTCTAGAGGAGAGTTAAACATGGATTCCTCAACTGCCTCAATGACATGACAGTGTTGTCATATTCGTGGCACATTCATAATGTAGAAACCCAATAATCCTGGATAGCCGAACGGGTAAAGCACAGGCGTCACGGCTCAAAGGTCGTTGGATCGAATCCCATCTGATTTTTTATTATTTACCTGTTTTCTGTATTTTTCTATCTTTATCCATTTAACTATTTTTTTCCAATTAACGCAAATATTTACATGATTTATTTACAACAGTTATTTTTTTATTTTTTTTCAATAGGGTTAGGGTTAGGGTCACAATGCACCATAAAACAGGAGTTTCAGGCACGCAATTTGTATCAACCAATGGGATTTGGGAGGTGTGTAGAATGCAGAAGGTTGCTGAAATGATGTGTACGCAACTGCGTATCTGCATATCTGCGCCTAACAAAGGTGTCACTATGCACGACTTAAATGTTACGTTTATAACCGAAGCAACAGACCCGCAGATGAGCCCAGACGCTCTGCGGCTCTTGTTATTATCAAGTTAATTAACGAGCTAATTAATAGAATTTGAACTGATGGTAAATAATGTTGTTTGACTACTTTAGGTAAATTTGTACCCCTTCCCCCTCCGCAGAGTTATTAGTCGAATAATCATAACGTGTTCTCTGCAGAAAGGGTTTGGCTACCACCTGGATCTCCTTGTGACAGCTGCTGGCATCCTTATTTCATCCATTCTTGGACTACCATGGTTTGTTGCCATGACGGTGCTGTCCATAAACCACCTGCAGGCTCTCCGGTTTAGCTCTGATGTTGCTGCACCTGGTGAGAAGCCAAAATTCCTTGGAATACGGTATGAATATAAAGGGTAGTTAATCAATCTATGTTCACTATAATACAGGGCCGTACGCAGCAGGGGGGCAGCAGGGGCAGTTGCCCCCCTAGAGATTTTCAGAGTATGCCTTTTAATGGGACAAATACTGTACACTTTTAGAAATAAAATAGAAATGTGACAAAAGGTTATCATAAATCATCAAAGAAATATTACACTTTAAATAAAGAAATGTGAAATTGCGAAACGTTAGGGCACAGGGGGCATGGGAAGTACCTTTGCCCCCCTACAGAAAATTTCCTGCGTACGGCCTTGCTATAATATATATATATATAAGGAAACAATTGAGAGATTGAGAGAGACATACAGATAGATGGATAGATTGATTGATGGATGGATGGATTGATGCATGGATGGATGGATGGATGGATGGATGGATAGATGGATGCATGGGTGGATGCATGGATGCATGGGTGGATGCATGGATGGATGGGTGGTGTGGGATGGATGGGATGGATGGATGGATGGATGACTAGATACATACATACATAGATAGATAGGCGGACAGACAGACAAGCAGGCAGGCAGAGAAGGCGAAAAAGAGTGAGAGGGGAGAGGAAGGGAGGTAGGGGAGAAGGGGGAGAGAAAGAGGCAGAAGGCGGGAGGCACAGGTAGAGAAGTAGAGGGAACAGAAGGGGGAAAATGGGCGTGAAAGAGATGCACTATATAAACAGAGAAGGGGAAAGTTCACCTCACACGTGTTTATTTTTTTACAGTGAAAACCGCGTGACAGCTATATTCGTCGCTGTAATGATCGGTGCTTCGGTATTCCTCACCAAATTGCTTGCATACATTCCCATGTCAGTGTTGTTTGGCGTGTTCCTCTATATGGGAGTAGCCTCACTTGATGCCGTCCAGGTATGTGCATGAGACTTGTATAGCCCGGCTGTATGTCTAAGACACAATCCTTAAAATCATAGCATCTAACCACTTTTTTGCACCATGTATACAAATACCGTCAGCTGATGGTGCAGAATAAACTATATCTATAGATCGATCCATCGTTATTATTAATGACCTATTGATGCTTAGAGATTAGTTTTCAGTTTGTATATCCAAAATATGCTTTGTGTAAATATATAACTTAATTGCGTACATATTTATACTTGATAAGATAGAGTAGTAGATATAGTAGAGATATTTTGTTGACCCATCCACCCAAGTGAATTGGGATGGATATTGTTATACTATATACCCACTGAAATATTGTTGCTTATATGTGTACATTTTTAGCTCACCTTGACATCGTCAAGATGAGCTATTGCCATGGGGCATCCATCCGTCTGTGTGTCCGTCCACATTTGGCTACGGTCAACGATAACTTGAGAACCGTTTGACCCACATGTTTCAAATTGCATACAGTTGTTACTCTTATGGGAGAGATGTGAACGTCCTATTTTGGAGCACGCCAGTTGACCTACTTTCGAGCTACGCCCACTTTTTGGCAAAAATGGAAATGTCTATAAGTCAGTTCAGGGTCAACGGATTTTGCTAATTTTTGGTATGTGAATGAATAAGGACTGGCCCCAAAACATATCACAGGGGTTTTGATATTTTTTTTAAATTATGCAAATTATGTATATTTTTGCCATTTCACTATGCATTTCAGTGTCTGCTTACGGTCAACGATAACTCAAGAACCGTTTGACCCACATGTTTCAAATTGCATACAGTTGTTACTCCTATGAGAGGGATGGGAACGTCCTATTTTGGAGCACACCAGTCGACCTACTTTCGAGCCACGCCCACTTTTTGGCAAAAATGAAAATGCCCATCTAGATTCATTCGATTTTGTTAAAATTTACCTACCTACCTACCTCCCTACCTACCTACCTAATTATACCTACGTGTAATATTGTGTTTTAGATTCTTCGTTACAGTAATTTGACTGGAATATTTTGCTTTCTTTATTGCTTTTATTTGCACGATAATCGAAAACCAAAATGGCAATAATTTAGGCATAGCATAGCATAGCATCTCGCCCAGATTTCAGACTTTCAGATCTGAAACATTTATTTTCACATCAAACCTAACCCTGAAACAATACCGTGAAATTTCTATTAGTATAAAACAGGGAATAAGGACATTTAATCACATTTCGGTTCGTCATAAATGAAACACTTACCAAATTTTAAATATCATCTCCCTCGTCTATCACATCTAAGGTGAGCTATATGGTCATTGACACTTTTCTTTACATGTACACTGTAACACTTATACCAAAACAGCAGTCTCCAACATCAATTCATTCGTTCCTCATTTATTTATCACCGACGAACGTTGACGATGGCAATAGACGAAAGATTGACTACAATACAAAAGGAAATAAACAAAATAAACTCCTGAACGTATTATAATTACATTCTTGATCTACATGATAAACGAGATATATCTAGCATACTCTGAACGTACGTGTCTACTCGATACAGTATCTTATCTATTTATATTAGCTTATATTTCAGTTCGTTATCATAGCATTAAAGCCCATTGAAGCTCATAGGGTCTATGTCCCCCAGGGTACTGCCGGAACGTACCCTGGGTATGGTCCGGTATACCGGAACATACCCTGGTAACTATCTGATATGGTTAGGGTTAGAGAGTAGGCATAGGCGACTCCCTAGACTCGTTAGTGGAGTAGGCGAGGTACGGTCCGACGTATTAGATAGTACCAGGGTACGTTCCGGTATACCGGACCATACCCAGGGTACGTTCTGGCAGTACCCTGGGGGACATAGACCCTCTGAGCCCCACTGAATGCCCTGACTGCTTTGCACACGAACCCATCCAAAACCGAAACTGAAATCGTCCTACATATCTTGAACCTATCTTATACGCGAGCCGTACACGCAAGTGTTTCATTCGGGAAGTAATTGTTGATTGGCCGTTACATACACACTAAATTGCCAATTTTGTGGGGCACTTCATTACTGAAGCCACATTTTTATGACATCCCTGTCACAATGCTGGTGGGCTAGACCTACCTGTCAATCACTCCAGTCAGATAGATCAATTATATATAAAAAGCTTTAGCCAAGGTCAAAACGTTGTGTGAAAGCCGTTATTTAATTACATCGGTTGTATCACCTTTCGCACTAGTTCGTGGATCGGCTGTTGATACTGTTCATACCAACAAAGTATCAGCCGGACTACATCTACCTGCGACATCTGAAATTGAGACGTGTCCACATCTACACATTCATCCAAGTATTATGCATGATTGTCATGTGGATACTCAAGTCTAACCGCAGCGCCTCCATTGGATTCCCAGTCATGGTGAGCAATCATGACATCATCACGTCAAAAAGTCACTTCTATTATGAACTCTTGCTCACGTCTACCTGCCGTTGTTGCTCATCTGATAGTAATGCAGATGGGGTCGTTGTCGTATCAGGTACTACAGATATGTACCCGAGGTAGTTTTAGGTTGTTTAGTATTATGTTTATATTTTTATATGAGGTATGTTTAGGGTTAGGGTTAGGGTTAGTGTTACAGATGGGGTCGTTGTCGTATCAGGTACTACAGATATGTACCCTGAGGTAGTTTTAGGTTGTTTAGTATTATGTTTATATTTCTATATGAGGTATGTTTAGGGTTAGGGTTAGGGTTAGGGTACACTTCTGTAGTACAAGTCTGGTACACTTTGTGTATACATATATGTACTTCGGGTACATATCTGTAGTACCTGATACGCAGGGCTGCCAACATTGGGTGATAGGTAAGAGTGAGATGCGAGGGAGCGAAGCGACCGAGCGTGGGTGGGCGTGGGAGGGGGGTTTTCCCCCTCCCACGGTAGGGAGCTTTTGCATTTTATAACTTCAATTTGTGCAATTTGGTGCATACTAAAGTGACTGTTTTCAGATATTGTAAGATTTTTTTTTGCTGTGCGTGAGATATTTCAGCGTTTTATTCATGAAGAGATATTCATGCGTAAGATATCTCAGCATTTTTTTGCTGTGCGTGAGATATTGTAAGATCAGCGTGAGAGCGTGAGATTTGCTCAAAATGCGTGAGTCTCACGGTCAATGCGTGAGAGTTGGCAGCCCTGGATACAACAACGACCCCTTCAGCGTAAGTGTTAGGGTTAGGGTACACTTCTGTAGTACAAGTCTGGTACACTTTGTGTATACATATATGTACCTCGGCTACATATCTGTAGTACCTGATACGACAACGACCCCTTGAGCGATAGTAATTGAACTGTGCTGTGCCATGTATTGAGTTCGACACAACATTACATTGACGAATGTTGGGGGAGGTTTTTACATGCACAGCAGTTTTTGGTGCTGATTAAAAGAGAAAATGCACGCATAACTGAGGAGGTGGAGGCATAGATGTACTTCAAGTGGAACTGCATAGCTAAGGAGCTAGAACATAGTGTGATCACGAGGTGTGAGATGTCCGTAGAAAATTTCTTTGTTTCTTTGTAAGATGCAGAAATAGCTTGCATCAACCAACGAGATATAGCACTGTATGTATAACATCTTAACTGAAATTTTAAAATCTAGTTAATAATTAATTAGTAATTATAGTTACATATCACCAGAAGTATATAATAATATAATTCCCTATTATCTACTTCTGATATCACGTAGACTTACTATTTGTGTTAATCCAGGACGTATCCAGCACGTAAAATCGTTAGTCTATAACCACTGTCATTTGGTGATAGGAATAATGCCATAAAATTCATGATCAGGTCACGTTGTGATAATTTATCATATTCATTTTGCTAGATTCTGGCACTCGTCATTGTGAGGAAACTTTTAAAGTACCTCTTTACTGATTTTGAGCTGGTCTACTTGGATGGCGACACTCCAGAAGAGATTGTGAAAGCACGTGAGGACCTTGAACACAAACACAAGGAGGCGCATGAGGTATTGCACATGAACGTCTGTTTAAATACATATGATTTCACTCACCTGTGACATGTCAAATGGATTTTACATGAGTGAACAGATCTAGCTTAACACCAGAATAAGATTATATGCATTATAGGGTAATTTCTGAGATACGAACATATCTAACTTATGAATGACGCTTCTTTATTTGTTGTATGAATGTGAGCCATGCACGAATTGTGCTCAAACCATTACCTTCTATGTCCTAATCAGAATTGAAGTTGACAGAACTGTAGCCTGAGCATATTCCTGGATGAGAAGAAATTACGTGATTTAACCTAGTGCTGACGAGAAAAGTTTTAATAAGTAAACCACATGTATGATAAAATTAGACTGAATAGGTAATTTTGTTCTATATTAATTACACTATTCCATTAATTCTAAAGTTATATATGGTATTTCTCATGATGATTTTTTTTAGCTCACCTTGACATCGTCAAGATGAGCTATTGCCATGGGTCGTCGTCCGTCGTACGTCCGTCCCTCCGTCCTTCCGTCAACATTTGGCTACGGTCAACGATAACTCAGGAACCGTTTGACCCACATGTTTGAAATTGGGTATAGTTGTTACTGCTATGCTCCCATATTGAACGGCCTATTTTGGAGCACGCCAGTCGACGTACTTTCGAGCCACGGCAATTTTTTGGCAAAAATGGGAATTGCCATTAGTCAGTTCAGGTTCAACGGATTTTGCTCATTTTTGGTATGTGAATGAATAAGGGCCAGGGGTTTTGATATTTAAAAATACATTATGCAAATTAGGTAGGTTTTGGCAATTATATAGCATATTATGTTATAGACACGCAAATAACAGTCTGTGGTGTCACACTCATCTGGTTCGTTTTACAAGATTTCATTGACAATATCTTTAATGCAAAATTGGTATTTCCTCTCCACGCTGCCGATAAAACGTCTATATTAGAGTAAAGTTTTACAAAACATGTCGGAACGCAGCATAACCTATTTATTTCGAACGCCATCGCTAAGAAATATCAAAGCGGGTATAGCGCCATCTACTGTCACAAATTGTGATTCATTTTGGTTTATAAATTATTATTGCGATATACAGATGGCAACCGTGTGCTACCGCCTGGAAAAACTCATACGAAGTAAACACTTCCATGTAACCAATTAACCTTTGATAAAAGTTGTGTTATGGGCAGGGAAACACCATTGTCACGTGGTATATAGCAGCTACGTGGAATAAGCGTATAACCTCTCAATCTTACACGTTACACATTGGGAGCTCCGCTTTTAGGCAGTGCCTAAATCTGAATATTATAAAAACATTAAATGGCGATCATTTAGGTGTAACGCCATCACTCGCCCACATCTCAGACTTTCACATCTCAAACATTTATTTTCACATAAAAAATTACACATATAATTATCAAGAGTATATAATGGGAGTTCTCACATACATACTCTTCGTTTCTATAATGTACGTCGATGGTTGCTCAATTAAAACTGACTTCTTCTCGCTCACTCATTTGTGTCCTTTTTTTGTGGTGAGCTACAGTGTCATTGACACTTTCATTTACAATCTGGTTGGGGCAGTTGCCCTCTCGCCCACAGGCTACAACTTTCATCACCTCAAAAGAGGAATTTTTTAAACTAGTTGTGCTCATAATCCAGGTAGTACATGTATGCATCAGAACTTCTCCTGATAATAACATGAACCATATTAAAGGTAGCTGAGGGCACTTTGATCATATAGTGATATTACCACACTCAATGGGTGATAATGATCAGTGGCTGATTCAGAGTTTTTGTATGGTATGGTTCACATACTGCACGAGAGGATTTTAAGGATATCACAATAGCTTTATCAAATGTTTTAACAGCCATTATGAACAACTAGACTCAGCTAGTGATTACGCTTATGACAGCGAGTCTGTGCGTGGGCAGGAGTGATTGTATTCTAAGTAGCCTGCATACCACAACATTTGTACGTGAATATTGTAAATCGTGATGTGTCTGTTGTGACGTGGTGGTCACATGCCTTTACACTAATGCCCATCAAACCTTAGGGGCGGAATATTTACCGGTTACCACTCCTTGATCCCGCTGTTGATTTAATATATACCTACTCATGTTTAAGCAATATGATCTCTGTTACTAGGTTTTGGCCTCAGGGGCTCTGAATACGCACATCAGGCAGTGCAATTAAGAGTTTTCAATCCTTTTGCCCAATTACAGGGCCCAGGATATTATTACGATTTTATGCTTGAGTCTGTATGATATGTAGTTTGTAAATATCAAGCAGATATGTTATCACGTGATAAATCATTTAATTAGCCAGTCCTTTATTCACGTTTATTGCTGTTGTTTATACACGTAATTGTTAAAATACATGACTAGTCGTTTGTTTCCAGTACATGTTTACTGCAGAGAGATGCTAGGGTTCAGAAGTCGCTTAGCCAGGTTGTTGTTGTTCGTGAGAATGACAAGGCCTGAATCAGAAAGACAAGGCCTGCAGCAATGATGGCGATATCGCGATGCTGTGAACCAGTTGACAGTAATGGTTATAACGTGTTACATGCTTTCTTCTCATCTTACAGGGGCACAACCTTATCAAGGTGAACGGCCAGACGATTCACGCGAGACCTAGGCGTGGCACATTCGCAGAAGTAGCTTTTGTTGATCAGTTGCACAAATCCGGCACGTGGCTTTCCATAAACGACCAGCACAATGGTCATCACCAGAATGGCGATCCTTCTGCGTGAGTTTCTATCCAGTACTCTCTGTCATGTTATTGATAGAACTTAAAGTCAGAGACAGTTACAGAGACCATTACTTCTACTCGTAAGTAGTAGGAGCCATATGTTCACCATGTACACTAGACAGTGTACGAGGCTGCAGAGCGGCCAGTTAGCCATATAACGTAAAGACTACATTCAGAAACATCATAGTGTCTTTATCTCTCTCTCTCTCAGCAGCAGTCGGGGAGATAGGTTCGTATATCTCTTAGCCTAGCAATAAATAATCCGTAATTAATTGATCAGGAACTCCAGTGACATTCCGCAAGATTCTGCACCTATGAAGAGGCAGGAAGGTGATATTACCGAGACGAACCATCTCCTGTAATAACACCATCAACTGCAGTTCGATCCACTACTTTTGTAGGTAAATATGGTGGAAAGTCTTGATCGTGACGTAAAATAAAATGCAATGTCTGTTGTTACCGCGGTTTGCAATTAAATTTGATCTAAAGCTATTAGTTAAGAGGTGCCGCCACCTGATGATGCATGGAAATTCAAAAAGTGTCTAGATTATGTTCGGAGATCAGTGCGCCAGAGAATCATTATCCCCTATGCTACAAAGTATTCACTGAAAGGGAGAACGAATACTGTGGTGACATTTTTATGGAGCTTATACAATCCATGAAGCTCGTATCAATTTACAATAAAAAAGGTAGTCGGTCTCTTGTTGGGCACATTTTTTATGCTACCAGGTAACAGATTCTAAATGATTTTGCTGTCAGAATATCAACAGAGTTGTTATTGTCCTAATATCAGTCTAATATTAGTATACAAACAACAATGAATTGTGGAAGTCTATTGTACTGTTCTTGCACCCTAGTTTCATGGCAAGATTTTCTTTTTATATGGTGTAAGTGTGCTGCATAACCATGATATTGCTGAAATTGAAGTGGTGAAAACAGCGTTGATAATACAACAACTAATGTCAGTACAGGGCTCAAGGCATATCACTTGCTCAATTTTAAATATGATTAGTATAGTTGTTTGTGGTTAAATAATACAACTATACACATAAATAGCAAGTATAAAAGTAACAATGTTGACTATATATATGATGGGTGATGTGCTTGTGATACTTCCAAGTTTATACTGGAAACTTCTTTAAATTGTGGCTGTGTAAAAATTCTATACAAGTTGACATATCTACCCACGGTGCGTATAATAGTTATAACTTGCGTTTATACTGGCTGTTTATGCTGTTAAATTGCGCAGATGCATTCACATTGCTATATAATAGTGATGTAGTGCCTTGTATATAAATTTGTAACCGTGGGATGATTGAGCTTATATTAGAAATTGTAGTTCCCTCTATGCAATCGTGCTGTGATAAAAATAGAGCAGGCTAACGTGATGGACACAGAATGGTTGACAGTTACACGTTCTGTTCGTAAAACGAGTTTTACGTTAACAGTTTAATGAACGATAATTGCAGATATCAGGTCAACAATATGGTGTTTAACAGGGATACACACACGCACATAATATATAAGTGTGTGCGAGATAGAGGGAGAGAGGTAGAAATCGATAAAGCCAGCTAGTGTATAATTTCTTGTTATGGTGTGATATGAGATGAGTGATGTGATCTTTCTTTAACGCATTTTTTGTTAAGTGGTTTGAGGGCTGGTCTAGTCGTTAAATTATATTGTTTAACTTCCCAAGCTAGTGCCAACACTTGGACAGTTAACCCCTGCCCTAGTCCCTGCCCTAAAATACTGTGTTTCATTGCGAATACCGAACGGTTGTGGTCGGACAATTCTGGAACGGAATGTTTCATGTGAAGTAGACATGTAGTCGCGCACGTGATCGGGTGGAGGTGTATATTGAAGCTTAAGATAACTTTGTGTTCATAACGGTCTCGAGCGAATTGTTACATAACTTGTGCAGTAGAGTCGCTTATTTTGTGTGTTCATCTTGTTTTATTATCTAGATTTTAGTTATAGAATTTATATTTTAGTCGAAAGTGTGTTGTGTAAGTTCATTACAGCTAGTAAGATTATTGATGAAGGATTTGTAAAGAAAAAAAATTCAATGCGTTAATAATCACGCATGTGACATGGTATTTGACATTCGGCGTTTTACATTAGTTGTTGCATTGGATGATGTTATTATAGTTGTTGTTATTTTCCAGTTTTTTTGTCGTAATTTAACACAGGAAGAAAGCTGGGTCGGTGAGGGTAACTGCCGGGCCAACTGGCGTAGGCCTACTTGTGAGCAATATGCTGATGTGTTATAGCAATGTTTCTTCTGCTCCAACATATGCAAAGAGTTTCTAGGCATAATACAGATACAGATACAGTAATACGTAATACAGTAATACGTCATACAACGCTATGACTATGTTACGGGGAAAGCGCTTTATGAAACAATGTTATAGAAGCTGATTGTAATGGAGATGTGTTGTCATTTTCACTATGAGAGATGTAAAAGCGTAATTAAATTTGGGTATTAGTAATAGCACGAATATCCTGCTAATATCAGTGATACTGTACACGTGAAAAATATATTAATGATGTTATAATGAACAGTTACGTTTTAAAGATAATGACATAATTTTATTTTTTTATGTAGTAAGTACTCACCCGGTGCACCAGGTCTGTGGCGTAGTTAACCACACAATTGGCAGCTATCATTGGCACAGTGCAAATTACTGCAGTTTTCTGAACGCAGCAATAAACAGCTTTTATAGAAAATTAAAAAACTTACATCTGTAAGGTTAAGTGCGCTGTAACGAAACCGCGTTATAAGAAGCCGTATCAGATGAGGTATTACTGGATCACTGTAAGGCGTGCACAGTATTCATGCTGAATTGGCTGCCAGTGAATTTTGTTGAGCTTCTCAATTTGTTTATACAGGTTCATACATATACGTCAGTGTGTTGATATCTGCGTCAATGCCACCGTTACAGATATAAAGTTGATTTTTTGCAATATGATAAAAATATAGCCACTATGAATACTGTTTATTCTTACAGGGGACCACCTTATCGTTCCAGTTGTGGCAAATATGTTGTTTGTGCATGCGTGCGTGCGTGCGTGCGTTCGTGCGTGCGTGCGCGCATGTGTGTGTGCGCACATGTTTGTGTGTGCGCGTCTTGCTTGCGTGCAAGCGAGCGCGCGTGTGTATGTTTGTATGGGTGCGTGTGTATTTAAGTACAAAAAATCGTGTTTTTCTGGCAGTTAAATGTATTGGTGATACACATAGTACACTAATAATACGAAAAACGGAAACTGATGTTTTATGTATAACGATTATTACTTACTAAAAAAACATTTGCTAATGAAATACTAGGACAGCGACTTAAACAGCGAATAAAATTTTCATAATCTAAAATAATTTATGGAATTGTTTTCTAGTTTGTTTATTATTTCAATGTGTTGTTCGCTCTAGCCACATCGCTGCTATGCCATGTATGCATTTGCGTTTGCGATCGTATTTCATACCATTACGACTTTTTATTTCTGTAGTAATTAAGTTAATAGATGTGCGTTCATCATAATATGCATTTTTCTTTAAAATATGAATGAATTACGATCAACATTAAACATTAAAGTACAAGAAACGCACTGTACTATCCTCACTTGATCGGCCAGATGCTGCTGCATGTGCTGTTGCTGCTGCCGATGCTACTGCTACTGTTGTTGTTGCTGCTGCTGCTGTCGTGTCTGCTGCTGTTGATACTGCTACTGCTGCTGTTGATACTGCTACTGCTGCTACTACTACTGCTGCTGCCGCCGCAGCCGCTGATGCGGCTACCGCTACTGCTGCTGCTACTACTGCTGCTACGGCTGCTGTTGCTGCTATTACTATTGCTACGACGACGACTACTGCTACTGCTGCTGCTGCCCCGGTTATGTTGACGGGTTGAATTTATTCTAACAGGTTTTTATATTGCACATGTAATATGGTGCTTTTTCAATATAAATAATTTCGTAATGACAATGAAAGCACATGAATCATTTAAGGCATGCATATGCAACAGGATAGTGGGAAACAAGTAAAATTTCCACAGGATCTTCATTAGACTGCCGTTGATATGTCTATACAGCACTTTCGGTTATAAATACTATGCTTCGACAGGAATAATGATGAGTGAGTAGAGACGAGGGATCACATATTTGCGGGTTTATGAAATATACTCATAGTAAATAAAATAGAGCTGAAGTGATAATTTTGTTCTGTTATTAGTTAATTACATTTATTTCGGATATCTTCTTTCTCTGAAAGATATAGACAGCTTCTTCCGTCCGCCTCGCCCCGAACGCGCTAGCTAAGGCCAATAACTACTCGTGTATATAATATGTTTGATTTTTTTACATATACTGGGCCTTCACAAGCAGGAGACTGTCCTTGTACTACAATATAGGGAGATTAAAAAAGATTTGACATTATGATTTAGACATAGACATTGAATTTTATAATTAATAAGGTAGAAAACATCGAGATAATGCATCTTTCACATGGCACACTAACTCGCTATGTGGAATGTGGAATTTTAATAAAAAATAATTTATTCTTGTATACACTGAACATAGACGATACATATAATGATGATGATGAGATAGATACCTTGATTGAATCATATGACACAAGGAAATTCGGGCAGCTTATAACGATTAAAGTAATTTTTTAGCATAAAGTCTTCATATCGAACTACTCGTAAACATGTGCACTGTATTACATATATGTACAATTTCAATAAAATAAAAAATTTTGCGCGAACATATATATATTATATCTAACGCTAAGTTACAAAATAAGGAAAAGATTAGGCACTTTGAAATTGTAGACATATGGATAGATATTTCTCATCTAGCATTACTCGAGAGTACGTGTTCTCTGCTTCAAATTTTTTCAATTATATGATTTTAACATTCTTACAGACTTTAACAACTTCTTTTTGCCTATACCGAGCATGCACAAACAGATAGACATACATATAGTACATTTTAGTGAAATTTGGGTAGATCGAGCACCTTATAATTTTTAAAGTGGGACATTCGATTAAATATATTTAATATCAAACTCAAACTATTCGTGAGTATGATCTCTCGTCAGCTCTACTAATCTCAATATTTCTTTTGAAAAATAGCCCCTACTGGACATATATCTAGCCCTATGCTATAGCACAAGGAAATTCGGAATAATTATCAATTATTAAAATAAGCCATTAGGATATAAATTATAGACATTTTTCGTCTCAAACTATCCGTGAGTATGTGCCCCTCTCTTTAAATTTATAATATAACCAAAATAACATTTATTTCGAAAAGTAATTGTAATGTGCTAACACAGATATGACACGATGCTACAAGAGGGATATTCGGTAACACTGGAGGCCTTATACAGTGCATTGTAATTATTAAAGGGCGCAGTGTGGAATCCGAATGAAACACCGAAATTTCCTCAAGTTGGTCATCGATAGTTCACTAGCAGCCGCTGGGGAAGCTATCCCCCTTGCGAGCGTGCCAACAGACATGCACGCAGCATCATCGCGAGATTGTGAGAGGACAGAAACATTCTGCTGCGACTGCTTTTGCCGTTAGCACAAGGCGGAACAGAAAGTGGGCCTGGAATGTCAAGCAAAATATACTGCGTCATGGCAAGTGGGAAATAGCAAGCGAGGAATGTCAACACATGCTCTTATGTCTGGCAGTCACAAATCCCACTGGCATGTAAACGTCCATTGCACGCATAAAGAAGAAGAGTCCAGGGGAGTTTTATGCGAAGGTATCCGTTGTGGTCGGATGCTGGTAGAAAGAGTGTATGCTCATCATTCAGAGTGGCAATAATTTCAGTGCCCACGCGGCAAACGGTATTCAGACGTACTCGCTTTATCGGGACAGGTCGAGCGGGAATAATGGAATAAGCAATAGTCTAGATCAAGCAGTGAACACATTTCCAATCGCACTTACATAACTAATTCTACCTTATGAAATTGTTTGAACACTACTCGCCCGCCACTACCTACACAGGGTTAGCTCTAGAATGTGAGATCGCAATTGTCTTTTATGAGATAATTGTGTTCAGAATTCGCCGATAAACCAAAAATGTCAGTTGGTTTTAAGTTTAGTTTTGTTGTACAACGGCAGAAAGGATCCCGTTAAACTATAGTCCTGTCTCCTTTTCCTTTATCTGATTAAAATCGCCTTTAAAGACACGCGTTGTTAAAGCGATGCGCTTGTTTATCCGAGGTGCGATTAACCTGGGACCATTGTACTAGCTTAATTGTGACGTGTATTATATGTATTGTCACAAATAAATGACAACTCAGCCTTTGTACATTCACGGAATACTTCGTACGATAAGTAGAGGAAAGTAGTAAAGACGTTAGCTAAACAAGCCGTGAACCTTGTGTGCTATCACAGACTTCTGCGCCGTAATGCAAGTTGTTTATATATCATTCAGAGTCAACCGCATATAAATTGTCTGATATATGTACATCTCTTTTGCGTTGTGTGCCCGCAGGCAGAAAGAAATCATTATTTGCACTCCATATCGGTATCGCTTTACACATTTGGCGCTACAATGAAATTTAACCACTTGTTCTCCATACTCGGTAATCTAAATACAAAACAAGTTTGTCGGCGATTTGTTCTATTGATGTGTTTTATGTGAGAATGTTTTGCCTATGTCTTGTATTAATCTTTGAATATAAACGTGTTCTATTAATATTTTCAATGATGCAGAACTTCTCTTTGTTTCCCTGAAAATGTATAGCTTAAAAGACGATATTGCTGACAGTTTAACAACAAAAACTACATGATAACAGTTTGAGGCAACAGCATTAACAAGCGCTTTAAAATCACAATAGCCGTCATATTAATGGAACACCTTTAAATAGAAACATGTGTAATGTTACTTAACAGAGACGATATGAAAATAGGGTAGTACGTGTACACATAAAGCGCACGCTCAAATTATTTGCACAAATGCTCTCTTTTCATGTAGCAGAATTCAGTGATAACGGAAATGTCCACTAACTGTTATAACACTGCTAATTTAAAAGCCATTAACGTAAAAATCAATATATTGGAATTATTTTATATAATTGTTGAAAGACCACAATCGGTCACACTATACGTAGGGCGGGGGCGTACAGCAAGATGCTCATTCAAAAAGTTTAGAGTGTACCTTCAAAATAAAAACGCAGCGTTTCTGTGATATGCTCTGTTGGAAATAACTAGCTTCAGTTTGGAAAACATCTTTTACGCGTATACAGTTTGTTGCTGCTGGCGATGAGGGCCGACAGTAGCAAGAACTAAGGCAGCTATAGCATAAGCGTTGGCAATCAATGATATTTCCAGCCCACTGGGCGCGCAGTTGAATTTATTAATTTGTTACTACTTTTCATCAAAAGCTCGCTATTAGTTATTCAGTTACGAACCACAAGAGATATCGCAATAATTACACGCGAGTATTGTCGGCTTAGGAACATTGAAACAAAGCCGCCACAAAGTGTGTAATGCGCATGTCTTTGCGCATGCGCGTATGGGAATATTAAGTACTAACAGAGTACGTATATCATATATATATATATATACGATATATACGTTAAATGATATACGTGCTCTTATACGTACGTACTATATTGTAATGTTCAATACCAAAAATACATTCAAACGGTATACAGATTAAAGGAATCCATTAAATCATTTGCCTGTTTAATTGTCAGTGGATATGAAATGAGCTGTTAAAGAAACTAGAAGTATAATTCATGCAGCCAACAGCTATTTGCTAAACTGCAGATTCCACCCTACGTGATCAAATATACAATGAGAAACCTCGTGAATATTTTACACTTGCGTTTTCGCTTTTTTATCGTTGTCTGCGGATTGAGAATCAAGAAATAAAGGTGCCAGTATCGAAAAACGAAACACGGGTATTATGCCCGCATATGCTTAGGAACGTTATATATATATATATATATATATATATATATATATATATTTATTTATTTATTTATTATATATATATATAATTTATATATATATATTATTAATATATATACCTTCTGATAAATATATATCAGTAAAATTAATGCGATTTAAGCTATAGACATTGGAGTGTTGTCATTTAGACGGCTATTGCAGCGATAAACTGGATGAGAGGTGTTACACAACCGAAAGGGCCACTATGTAAATGATAAATTAGTATAATTGGAATGCTGTGAGACTAAGTAATTGACTCATATTATCCAGGTTCCGAATCGAGATCGTGCCAAGGATAAATTTATTGATGTATGCCATTGCACGTACATCCCTTTGCTATTAAACGCAGAAGCTTGGAACAACCTTGGACCAATTCATAATAATTGATTATGGGAGAAAGAACATATACACATGAATAAACCACCACGTACCATAGTTAGCCTTATAGTTTACACCAATCATAGACCATGAACAGGATGCATACTGAACTCATTGCTGTGGTCTTAGGTACCTGCGACGCAACACAGAAAATGCATAAAGACAACATAACATAGTCAATCTGCATAGTTTGACGCAAGTAAATGCTCTAAAGTAAAGATAGAATAGGTAGATACTTGATGCATGGATGGATGCATGGATAGATAGATGGTTGGATTTTTTGGGGTATTTTCTTTTCAACCAAGCGGTCACTAACTGAGTAACGCCACTGATTTTCCCGGGCAACGCCGGATATCCCGCTAGTACTTTATAATCAAGAGCGTATAAAGAAGGCCTTCTTTATACGCTCTTGTTATAATTCAATAACACTGGACGCGTCGTGTATTTAGAAATACCGCAGTAGGCATTCGGTAGCGATGTATTCCAGACATAGAGATTATATCGCACGAAAGAAGCGCCAGCATCATCTCGTTAAAATCCAATCGACACGAGTCCTTGGCGTCCTTCGTTCAGTGCGCATGCGCACAGTGAGACGGAAACAAGTTTCGCGTACATACTTGTAACGTGAAGAGCTGCGGAACTAGTTAGACATCTCACGCCGACTGATGTAGCCGTGTTTACACGAGCACGCACGCGGCGGGCAAATATGAAAGCAATGCCGCAATCATCAGCAGGGCAAAGACTCCTATATACAAGTTAACGCGATTAACGCCAATTTTTGACTACCATTAAGATAATTAATTTGCGGCGAATAGAGGATCGAGTCCGTAATCGGCGATTCCGTGTGTCATGTTGAACTAGAGTGGCATCATCGAAATGTCTTGGTGTGTGATGCTTTTGCTGTGTGCGTGCGTGCTCTGCTGTCACGCGACACCAGTGAAACCAGACGATGAGTCTCAGCAGACGACGAGCCAGGAGCGATTAACTTATATCGGGTGAGTCTTATATAGATTATATTATAAATACCTGATTAATTACCGGCACCGAGTCGCAGTTACTCGTACGTCCGCTCTTCACCGAGGCAAAGGCGTCTTTCACACGCAAGACTGCGCTGTATTGTCCGATGACGTTGTGTAAGTAGACAAAAATCGAACAGTTAGTGAGGCATTTAGTTTATTACATAATCAGATACTAGAGCACTCGGAGAGCACAGACCTCCGCCAACGCAGCTGAATTCTGTCACTGTAAAAAAATGTATGAATTAATTAAATAATTAATTGGATCCGGATGACGACCAAAATGTAATCAATTCTAAGTTACCCGATTTCTGACGTATCCTGAAAATTTAATTAATTAATTAATTAATTAATTAATTAATTGAATCCGGATCACCACCAAAATGTAATCAATTCTAAGTTACCCCATTTGTGACCTATCCTGAAAATGTTATTAATTAATTAATTAATTAATTAATTGGGATCGGATCACACCAAATTATCTCCCATCAATTTAAGTTAGCCCATTTCTGACTTATCCTGAAAATTTCTTATGGGAGGAATCTCTTTCCATAACTTTTTCAGTTAGGCTGTACACAAACAAACCAACGCACAAACCCACAAACCCCCCAACCCCTTGGCGGAGGTAATGATAATGAAATATTTACATGGTTGCTGTTATAATCGAATGTGTGAACTGTGGCAGTCACTACTAGTAGTTATATATAACCTATAAACACACAGGTACAGACACGCGCGCAAACAAACACAACACACACTACACACACACACACATCACACACACACACCACACCACACACACACCACAACACACACACACACAACACACACACAAACACACACACACACACATCACGCAGCACCACACACACACACACACACACATACACACACCAACATACATCCACACACACACACTAACCCACCACGACAGCACACACACAACACACGAGTACAGTACACACACCTTACACACACAACAACAAGACACACACACACACACTCAGCATACGCATGCACAATCGCACGCACGCACGGCCACACCACACCATACAACACACACACTACGCAACTACACAGAACGCTGCGCGCACGCACACCCTACACACACACACACACTACACACACACACACACACACACCACACCACACACCAACACACACAGCACGATACGCACGCGCACGGCACGCACGCACGCGCCATACACTAACATGCACACGCACGCACACACACGCACGCACACACACAAGCTCAGTGCTGGGATCCCAAGATGGATACAAATGCTTTGCGGATGTTTTGCTGATATTGAAAAGGAAGCAGCGGCTCATAGTAATTGCATCCTGTTAAAATGGGGACGTTGCATTAAAGGGTAATGTTCTCACTAGGTTCATGGCCTTTACGTTTTTAATTTGATTTGATTTAAATAACTAACTCGGATAGATATAATATTCGTGTTTAGTTTTCGTGATATGAAACTTATGTATACGGTTTACACATCCCCACACTTCCGGCCCCCCATGTTCTTGAGTGACATGGGTAGAAGAAATCAGAGGATGACAGGATGCAGACCACGAAAATGCCTCCTTTTTTATTTATAAAATAAACATTTGTAATAGTTTTTCCTTTCGAATTTAACGTGCTTTGAAACGTGCATCGAGGTTTAAAGAAGTTATATTTGACCAGGAAACATTTTTGCACTTGTGTCAGTTAAAATGTAAATTCATGCGTAGACATTTTCCTCTGGCACCTACTCTCCGAATTTATTCTGTTGTGGACTTTTATATTAGCATATGAGAGCACAGACTGACAAATTCAGTCAAACGTGCTGTACGAGTTGCTCTACTTTCCACTATTTCAACTCATTTCCACGTTTGAATTAATGTTTTTATCTACACCCGTGATTGCCGCGGATTAAAATAGAGGCATGAACATCTATGAGCGTCTGTCTTTCGTTTGAAACTTAACGTTTTCGCTTCAATCGTGTACCGTTCTTCATCTTCCGTTTATTAGAAGTAATTGGAAGTCAGCTCTATTTTTTAAAGATGTCTTCGTTACCTTCTGGCCCTACATGGCAGATTGACAAAATATGTCATTATTACCTCTGATAATATCCATGTAAATATATAATTTATTGTGCGCCAGTAACTTGAATGAAAGCCTTGTTATCTTTGGGTTAGTCTATTTTTCCGCTACCGGATAGGCACGGTAAACGTGACGTCACTTTTCCGGTTCTTACCGCCGATCTACAGTGGCTGCACTTGAAAGAATGACAAGGCATGTAATATAGCTGAATAACAGCTTAGTTTACTCATGATTATCAATGAGTGTACAACGCGTCCATGGCACGTCGTATAGATACAACCGCGCGCACTCCATGCACGCACGCACGGTATTAGATACACGCCGCCACCCATGCACGTGCACGCAGCGCATGCACGCACACACCCAACCACAGAGAATACCTACATGTGTAAAATAAACCAGAATTTTTTTTGCACAACCATTCCTTCCTCGCGAGTTATTGAGCAGAGATCTATATATATATGAATCAGTATACTCTGTTGACCGTTTACACGATCACTAAATTTATAGCGTTGCACAAGTAGAATGACAGCGCATAGGAGTCATACGTTCTCACTTGATCGAACCACCATGTAAAATTTCAATCGTAGTAACAAGGTTTATGTAGCAGTTGTTCAAGGTGCTGATAATCATATCAAGTCGCCGGCTCTTATCAAGAACGAGAGAGGCTCCTGACTTATCCCCGCGGTCTCCGCGTACTCTTATTAAGTGCATATACGGTTCCGGACGTTTGTCATTGCGTTGACATTCTATGCGGGAATTCGGGAGAGTATGTTTAGCAAGCGCCACCAATATTATATATAGTTATAAATATTACTATAATATATATATATATATATATATATATATAGCAAGCACTGTGCACGTATATAATGGCAGGAGCGTATAATGACAAATATAGGACAAATATATTTGTCATTATACGCTCCTGATAACGGCTATGCACGTGCAAGGGCGGTCTTTCAGCCACGTTACGCGTCGCCTCACGCACGCAAGGACGCACGCGCGCACGCACACCTAAACACGTGCGAGTGCTTGGTTAAATCCCGCGCCCGTAACCTTCGCCTACTTGAAATATTTATAAACGCGTTCCATTAATCAGCTTCTATGATGAAGAAACCTAGTTACACTTTGTGGCATATACCACGTGCATAGCACTGCAAACACGTCGCGTTAATGATTTCTAAAAGATCTAACGCAATACGATGCTGCCCTCGTCTGTGCGTGGGTGGTATTCTACCTTGCTAAAAAGAAGTATTAAAATGCATCAAATATTCATATTAAAAATTAAAAATATGTTGATTTCTTCTATATTAACAAGATATAATATATATATATAAGATATAATATATCATTCTCCTATTCCATATATACATTATGTATTAGCTTAATCAATTTATTATGTAACATGATGCTGCTTTAGGTCATCTGTCACTCGCTTACAAACGAAATTTCACGAGACCCGCTCAACAATGAATCTCGCGTTCACGTCGTTATACTTTCGCATACGTTGAGAACAAATGACATTTCTCATGATGCGAGCTCGACAGCGCTTCGGCGAGCGTCTCCGCATCGCGTGGAAAGTTTATCGGCACTCGTGGCCTTGGCCAAACGCCCTAAAAGCCACGTGCTCTTTTGCCCGCTTCTTCGCATTGGCGGCGTGCCAGCCAGCCGTTCAGCAGGAATTATACCATTTCGTCAGAAGTAGTTAATAGGGAATAATAAATTAACTGGAGCCGCAGAGCGTCTGGGCTCATCTGAGGTCTGTTGCTAGAATGATAAACGTAACATTTAAGTCGTGCGTAGTGACACCTTTGTTAGGCGCAGATATGAAGATACGCAGTTGCGTACACATCATTTCAGCAACCTTCTGCATTCTGCATACCTCCCAAATCCCATTGGTTGATACAAATCGCGTGCCTGAAACTCCTGTTTTATAGTGCATTGTAACCCTAACACTAACCCTAAACCTACTAAAAAAAAAAATTTAATTGTTGTAAAAATTATTTGTTGTTATAAAATTGTTGTAAATAAATCATGTAAATATTTTCCTTAATTGGAAAGAAATAGTTAAATGGATAAAGATAGAAAAATACAGAAAACAGGTAAATAATAAAAAATCTGATGGGATTCGATCCAAGGACCTCTGAGACGTAATGCTGTGTTGTAGCCGTTAGGCTATCGATGAATATTGGGTTTCCAGATTATGGATGTGCCATGACTGTGACATCATTGAGGCAGTTCAGGAATCCATGTTCAACCCTCCTCTTGAGGGTCAAAAGGTTATCAGACACTTACTCTTCGCACGTCAGTGGAAAGCACATTTCATGGTCCTTTCAATAAAGTGATAAAAATGTAGGTCCGAGCTGAAAACAAAAAAGTTTTTCACTCTGTCCGTTAGCCCATTCTCGAAAAATTGTCTGATATCTGACCTTTCCACCACTGCCCTTTGACCTGTGACCTCCAATTTCGGCACAGTTATGGCTTTTCTCTACATGATGCTATACCCGACTATCACGAGCCTAGGTCGAGCCGTTTAGATTTGTGCGCCAATTCTGCATTTCCCTCCCTATACCTTAAGTTAAGGAGGGAATGTTCCCCTTCTTTTACACCTCTTGGACGTTTGACCTTTGACCCCCAGCTTCGACATCCCAACGTTTTTCGGATTACCCCCCTACGTCCCGAATTTCCGAATCCGTACGTCGAGCCGTTTAGAATTTTGTGCCCAAACTGTTGACGGACGCACGCACGCACGGACGGACGCACGCACGGACAATCATGCGATTCTACAAGCTGCATCTGACTATGGGATGCAGAATAGGAATATATAATATAATATAATATAATATATATAATATATTTAATTTATAAATTAAAATAGGAAATATTTCCTAAA